TCTTTCCCCTTTCCCAATGCCTCCTAGATCCTCCCCAACTCCCTACCCACTCAACTTCATGTTCTTTTTCTCTCTCTCTCTCAAATAAACCTCAAAAGAAAGAAAAAGCCAATCAAAACAAACAAACAAAAAGACAATAAAACAAAAATTATCAAATGTACATTTTTCATCTGTTGCCACTATTTTGGAAAGTTCCAGGTTTCAGCACTGGCAAATGACTTCCCTGTTGCTAGTTACAATCCCAAATAGAGAAGGAGAACTGTTGGGGACAAATCTAACTGAGGAAGAATTACTCTGTGATTTCATTTTTTCTTTTTAATGTGTCTCCCCGGGACAAAATTTTCCAGCTACAATAAAATGTATTGAGACAGTGTCAGTCACAAGTCAAAATGTACATGAAGTGTGTTTACACTCTCGTGTACTTACCATCTAAAAGACAGTATGAGAGATGGGCATTGGGGGAGTAGTTTGAGTAGAGCATGTTTGTATGTGTGTTGGGACAGGACCTACGCCTCACAGAGACCCCTGGTCTGTCACTAGGTACCTCTGCAAAACCGCAAGATAATAATTTCAATTTGGCAGCTTTTGAATGGATTACTGTTCAACTTTTGGCTTTTCAGCTGTTTGTTATGAAGACAAAGTGAGGGAGAAATTAACAGAGGAATATGGTCAGAAATTGGGAGAGGAGCCATGGAGAAAAGCAGCTGTTTAATAATAACAAATCTTAGTTGAGTATTTTAAATGTCTGTCACTTGATATTTATTAATCTTGTTGGCTATTGAAATATCTGCATAGGATATAGTACTGTCATTATTTCCATTTTAAAATTGAGGGAAATGAGGCAGAGAGAGACATCAAGTAGCTTGTCTGAGGTCGGGACTTTGAACTGAGGTCTAGACAGATTCCAGAACTCGTTCTCTTAAGGTGTCATGTTTGGCTGTGTGTCCAGACCTCATGCTTGCAAAATTCCTAAGGCCTGGTAGAGCTTGTCTTCCCAAAAGGTAGTCACTCTTGAAAACTGAACTCTGGAACAATAGAGCCTGTAATGATTGATGATTTTTTGATTAGAAGCATCTTGCCAATGACTAGCTGCACAATCTTGTGAATGCAGACATAATATCTAAAGGTCTTTTTCCATTCAGGATTCTATGACAGGAGGAGTTGGAGGGTAGAGAGTGAGGAGGGAGATCATGCCAATATAGTGCTCATATATGAAATTCTCAAAATTAAAAATGCAGAGTAAATTTAAAAGTAAACATAATGTTTTAGAATAGAAAAGATGCTACTGACTACACCAGATATCCAGAATTATCTCCCAACCCAGCTGAGGAAATTCCTTCAGAAGGCTACCCTTAGAGAGTTTGGGAAAACCTAGTTTGTCTTTCTTTTCTCTCTTTGTTTGCCTGTCTTCCTGTCTACTTGTCTTCATTCCCTTCCCTTCCCTTCCCTTCCCTTCCCTTCCCTTCCCTTCCCTTCCCTTCCCTTCCCTTCCCTTCCCTTCCCTTCCCTTCCCTTCCCCTTCCCTTCCCTTCCCTTCCCTTCCCTTCCCTTCCCTTCCCTTCCCTTCTTCCCTTCTTCCCTTCCCTTCCCTTCTTCCCTTCCCTTCCCGTCCCTTCTTCCCGTCCCTTCTTCCCTTCCCTTCCCTTCACTTCCCTTCCCTTCCCTTCCCTTCCCTTCCCTTCCCTTCCCTTCCCTTCCCTTCTTCCCTTCCCTTCCCTTCTTCCCTTCCCTTCCCTTCCCTTCCCTTCCCTTCTTCCCTTCCCTTCCCTTCCCTTCCCTTCCCTTCCCTTCCCTTCCCTTCCCTTCCCTTCCCTTCCCTTCCCTTCCCTTCCCTTCCCTTCCCTTCCCTTCCCTTCCCTTCCCTTCCCTTCCCTTCCCTTCCCTTCCCTTCCCTTCCTCCCTTCTTCTTTCTTTTTTGTCTCTGTTTTCTTTGAGATAGAACCTTATATTGTAGCTAAGGTTAGCCTGGAACTTCCTGTGTAGCCCAAGCTACATAGTCTTGATGACCTTCCTGTCTCAGACTCTAAAGTGCTAGGATTAGCAAGAGCCACTACCCCCAACTTTCCTGTCTTTAGTAACTATTTCTATGGCAACAAGAAAGGACTCAATTTTCCTTTCCACTTTTGTCTCTACCCATTGTGGGTACTCTGAACTGTCTCATATTACAGCATTTCAGTTCAGCTAGGGTGAAAAGGAAGGGTATTGTTCTATTGCTACTGGATAAATTCAAAAGTCTAGAAAAGTCTCTGAGTGACCACTTTCATTTCCTGGAAGACTACAAGACAGATATGAATGCGTTCTAATTTTAAGCTTTCCGTTGAAGGGGGATTCAAGCCTTAATTGGGCCTTTCTTTAGTTTCCAAACTTCTTCTCACTGTCAGTCAGGAAAGTTCTTCTTTCCATATTTAAACCCTTTTTGCTATAATTAAGATCCTTCATTTCTCCTGTAGCCTCGCTGGGGATGGAGAAAAGCTGATTGTCAGATGTCTGACAAACTCACTTGCTCAAACTGAGACCTTCTTCAGGGAAAGTGGGCTTCTTGAACTTCTTAGGGTATTTATGAGCGAAGAATGAGAAGTGAAAATCAGGGCAAAAGTTCCTGGGATGGCCTTACTTTCACTGTCTGGCTGACACCAGGCCTTAGAACTTGCAAGTTTACCATTCACTCACCACTGATGGCACACTGTTCCCATGTTCTACAGGTCTGCTGCTTCCTGTCAGCACGTTCTTGACAGGTGTCCTTTCCTTGTCCCTTAGGTGTGGCATACAAGTATAATGTTCTTGAAATCAGATTCACTTGAGTCTTCTCGGTGGAAAAGGAGACTATACATACCATTAGGAAATTGGGAGCAGACACCTATCAAAAGGAAACAGCTTCTGCTTTCTATGTTTTCAATTTTATGGACAGTAAGGCATTTGTTTCATTATGTATCTCATTCATGTCACTATTCTGCCTAGTCACTTGCTCTACCAATTGCTTTGCTTAACTTCCTCAGATTTCGATGATAAATTGTGGTTTTAGTGCCACAGAGACTTGATCCCATCTCTTGGGCTTTGTTTTGTTCCAATGTCTGTGCTATCTGTGAATTATGTCAGCAGTGCTGCGGTGATATTGTGTTTCCCAATATATTGTGCACCCTAATAAACTTATCTGGGGTCAGAGAACAGAACAGCCACAAGACAGACATGGAGGCCAGAAAATGGTGGCACACACGCCTTTAATCCTAGTATTCTGAAGGCAGAGATCCATTAGGATCTCTGTGAGTTCAAAGCCACACTGGAAACAGCCAGGCATGGTGATACATGCCTTTAATCCCAGGAAGTAATGGCAGAAAGCAGAAAGGTATATAAGGCATGAGGACCAGGAACTAGAGGCTTGTTAACCTTTTAGGATTTGAGCAGCAGTTCAGCTGAGATCCATTTGGATGAGGACACGGAGGCTTCCAGTTTGAGGAAACAAGATCAGCTGAGGAATTGGCAAAGTGAGGTTGGATGTGGCTTGTTCTGTTTTTCTGATCTTTCAGCGTTCACCCCAATACCTGGCTCCGGGTTTGTTTTTATTAATAAGACCTTTTAAGATTCGTGCTACACAGTGTCATGTTTGGTTTGTTTTTTTTCTTGCCTGTTTGTCCCTTCTTTTTATTTCAGGACAGGATCTCCATAAGTTGTCAGGCTAGTCCCTTGAACGTGCCAAGTAACCCAGCCTGAACCATAATGCTCCTACCTTAGGGTCATAGATTACCACTATGCATCACTATATGTTAATTCCAAGTTTCAGAAGTCAAAATCTGGTGCTGCTTATTTCTTGAGGTCTGGCTATGGGGATACACATTACTAGCCAGCCAATGAATTGGATTTCATTTAGTGTCAGGTGCCAATGTTTGTGCCAAATTATTGCAGCCAAAGGCCTGGTAGGGTTGTGGGTTATAAAATGTGAGTCTGGTGTTCCTAGGACATGATGGTGGCAAGTTAACCCAGACTTATAGCTGTGATATGAAGAGTAAGGTTTTTATTAAAGTTCCACAGCATTTCCCTATAATGACCAAAAGGCCTAAGCCAATGGGAAATGACTGAATGGGGCTTTGTTAATTCCTTTTCTTGTTTCTGTAAAGAAATAACTTACAAAACCCTAAGGAAGTTTATTTCAGCTCACAATTAGAAGCTGTGGCACTGAGAACTTCCCTAGAAGAGGTGGCTGGAGTGTGAGGTCACATTGTGTCTGCAGTCAGGAAGCAGAGGGTAATGAACGCGGCTGCCCACACTTTCTCCTCTTTGTTCCATCCAGCACTCCAAGGCACAGAATTACCAGCATGATCTACATCCAACATAGTTCTTGCCATCTCAATTAAACCTCCCTGGAAAGGGTCACACAGACATGCCCAAAGGTGTGTCTTTTAGGTGACTCTAAATCCTACCAAGTTGACAGTCAAAGTTAATTATTACAGTGGCATAGAAGCCAAAGAAGGCTTGGGTTTTGGTTGAAATAATTGTTTTGAAGAAGAGTATAGTACCCTGTTTACCACGTGAAGCATCTGTAACATGTATGCAGTTTGTAGCTCCACTGGGTAGCTTCAGAGAGAGTTTGGTGCCAGAATAGGACTCATAGTGAGACCTTGTGTGTGACCAACAAAGAAAAAGTGGCTGTAAGAGTAATATTGACCTATCTTAAATTAAATTCATATACCATTCTCTTTATGAATTGTCCACTTCTCTCTCTCTCTCTCTCTCTCTCTCTCTCTCTCTCTCTCTCTCTCTCTCTCTCTCTCTCTCTCTCTCTTTCTCTCTCTCTCTCTCTATCTATCTATCACACTCCACTACCTATGGAATGACACAGTATTCCTGTGAACTGACACTATAACAGAAATACAGCATTTTAGAGGTGAGTGTCAGGCTTGAATGGGGGAGGCAGAATTTAATGTGAAGCAGTCCAGGGAAGATGTTAGGATGACAGAAAACTGCTCTATTTTCCTACCTGTGTGTGTGTGTATTTTTCTTTCCAGGGCTGCTGATAAGCTCAGGCTGTGCATTATATCCTTTAGGATGGAACAGCCCGGAGGTAATGCAAACATGTGGAAATGTCTCCAATCAGTTTCAGTTAGGTAAGGTGGTATGGCATGAATTGCACTGATGGTTTATGGGAAAACTGTCTTCAACTGTATATGTCTTGGAGAGTCCTCTGTGACTAATGGCAATTGACTATATCTGTCATGCTTATAGATGGCCATGGGTTTGTCTGAGTTCCTTTGCACCTTTAAACTTACAGGGATTGCCTTTAAAATTCTGTTTCGTTAATTCTCTCTCTATGTCCTTTATACATTTTTTCCTTTATACATTTTTATCCAGCATCTTTTGGCCAGTGTAGAGAAACTAACTACTAAAAATTTTTTATGTATTTGGCACACAGACAAATTTTTGGTGTGTGTTATTTTCTATCATTTGCCTGAGAAGGAATATAAAAGAATCAGACAGAAAATGAGAAATTTATTCTCAGAATTCATATTCTTTTCTAGCTTACCTTTGTGTGGGTAGAGGAGAATAAAAGCAATGTTAATAACAATTAAAATGCTTTTGAGAATTTATTATATAACCAGTGGGGACAGCAAAGAGGAAATAGGTGAAGGTAGTTCTTAACTTGCACATGGGCATAGAGCTTTTAGTTAATAGAACCACAATTTAATTCAAGTCTATATATGTTTATTATTGCACTATTCGAAATAGAGAAGAAATGACATCAGCCTAATATCCATCAACATATGAATAAATAGTGAAAATGAGGGACAAAATGAATATGTAGATCAAAACAAAGAAAATAAAACAAGAAAATATGACATGGAAAAACAATGGAATTTTTCAGCTATGAAAATAGAACAAAATTTTGACTTTTGCAGGAAAATGAATGAAACCTGAGGTAATTATGTTAAGTGGAATAAGCCAAACTTACAAAGACACATATCATATATTTTTCCCTCATGCAGAACTTAGATTTAGATTGAGGTGTTGCAATGTCTATGTGAATAGAACATAATACTAAGAAGAGGATTTTGAGAGGAGAGAAGGAGGTCTACAAGGAATGAAAAAAGAACAAGAAAAGATAACGGGATGTTTGTAACATGAAAGCAGGGGCCCGAATGCCTGGCAGAGGGGAGGAGGACTCACAGATGGAAGGGGTAGGAAGAGAGCAGATGAGGAGATTCAGTACAAAGTATATTGACATATATGCATTAGAAAATGTCACAATGAAACCTATTACTTTAAATAATAAATAAATAATAATAAAAGGAAAAACACTTAAAACAGAATTGTTTTATTTTTACATATCCTGCCCTAATTACATCTTTCCATATCTCCAGCAGAGGTAACTATTATCTGTAATTTACAGGTTTTAAACGTTATATGTACCCAAAATGGTGATTGTACTATGAACTTTATATTTATTATTATATTTTATTCTTCATACAGCTCTGAGCTTGCTTTTATATACTAGTATTATTCTGAGAAAAATGTAAAAAAAAAGACTTTCATATCCTTTCATCAAATAAACAAAGACCTGAGTATCAGTTTTAATGAAGCATCAACTCCCTTTATAGTGCTTGGAAAATTTAGCATATTTTTACATAGAATCATAGACTATCATAGGCTATTCGAACAAAAAGAGATTTAGCTATATTATTTGGTTTAGGCTGTTGTTTATTCTCCTTCTCCTTTATATTAAATACTACAACCACTGATGTAGGAGGTGACTCAACGGATGATGTGCTTGCCATGCAAGCCTGAGAACCTAAGTTCAGATCCACAACAAACATGTAGAAATCTGGGCATAGCCATGCACATCTGCAACTCCAGTACTGTGGAGAACACATGGAGACAAACAGATCTTTTGAGCTCACTGGGCAGTGTTCTCAGCTAATGGGTGAGCTCCAGATTCAGTGAAGAAACACTGTTTCAAGAAAAATCAGGTGGAGAATGATTGAGGAAGACACTCCAATCATCAACTTCTGAACACAACACATATTAGCACATATTTACACCCCTACATGGATGCACCTTTCCACATGCGTATACCATAAACACACACACACACACATACCCTACAACCTTGAAGGTCCTTTACTGCGATATGTTTATTTATCGATTTCCTTTGTAGCCCATAACATGTAGTTACTTGGTCTTCTTATTTGATCACCTGTTTTCCTTAATAGAATGGAAGCTCTGTGATAAAAGAGACTTTATCTTTTTTTCATAATCAAATGATACTTTTTGTATGAACAAATCTAGTGTCACCTCTTCAATTCAAAGACGAGGAACCAAAGGCCCAGAAACTGATCACCTAGTCCAAGTTTCCTAACCTCACACCCTTGTGTTCTCAGGCTAGGATCCAAATGTATTGCATCTGTTCTTAAAGGGACAAGGACTATTGTGATGCCAAATGATAGTGTTGTCGATCGATGCTGTAATGAGAAAGACAGTTTCTGTGAGAAAGAATAATAGAGAACATTCTTACTTCAACTGAGGAAAGATTACAGAAGACCTCCCTAACAAAGTATGGTTTCTTTAGAAGGAAACTGAGAGATTAGTAGTATTAACTGGGTAATTTCAGGAAGAAGAGAGTTCTACACACAGAAAAAGACAATATTCTATGAAGTGGGGATGACTTAGCTGGTGGAGAACTGCAAGAGCCATGTTGCTGAAGCTGAGTGACAAGAAATATAACAGACAACGGAAGGATTGTGAGCAGCAATCTGACTTTACAGGGCTTTGGGAAGCCATTGCAGGATTTTGTGAAGGAGAGAGACAAGATGTGACTTCCATCCTAGAAAGTTCTTCTGACAGAGTTGCAGAGTGGAAAATGCCAGACTAGGAAGAAAAAAGAACAGGTATCAGCTCTCGGAATAAAGTCCACTGGTTACAAAGAGAGTTGACATGCTGGCATAGAGAGAGGAGATCTCACAAGGCCCTATCCCTAGATGAAGAGCTGTAGGTGATTAACAGCTGCTGAAAGAGGGGGGATCCATCTTCTTTCAGGATGAGCCCTCAAATAGGTTATCCAGTCCCAAGTGGTAATCAGCCCCCAAAATACACATATATGAGTAATGCTAAATGAACTCGGGAGGTTGTGTTTATATATTAATTCATATATATGCATGTATGTATGTATGTATGTATACACATAAGCATGCACGAAACAATAAAATTTAAAAAGGAGATCATGAATTTGATGGGAAGTGTATGAAGGAAGACTTAGAAGAAGGAGAGGGAGGGCGAGATGGTAGAAATACAGTACTCATATATGAAATTTTTTTAGATGAAAAACACAGTTGTCCCTTGTATCCTCAGGTTAAGTTTTGTATTTTTTGATTCAACCAACTATGGAAAATTAAATTTGATAAAAATTGCACTTGTACAACAAATGTACATTTTTGGTCATTTATCTATCTCTAATGCAGTACAGCAACTGTTCACATGAAATAAAATTGTCATTGTATTATATAAACAATCTAAAAATGACTGAAATATACATAATGAATGTATAATTCTTATGCAGCTATAATAGACCCAATCTCCAGTAGATAGTGAGGGACAGCTATGTATTTTAAAAAGCTCAATCAGTTGTGGAAGGTATTAGGTTTGGTGTGGGTAAAAGAAGACAAGAAGCGGAAAGACAAGAGGAGAAAGAGCTATGGTTGGAACGGGAAGAGGGGAAACGGAAACTCAGTTCAGATGTTCGGGAGATGTCTCCGTATAGCCTAATGCTGGCAGCAAGTGGTCTGCACCTCACTGAGGAGTCCAGTCTCAAGTTTAGAAAGTGGGAGCTCTTAGCACATATAGAATACAGTTATAAGGATAAATAATTGCGATAATAATAATGACTACCACCTTCTGAGGATGAGATTTACAAACAAGTGGAGTTACTTTTACAAGCTCTGTTTAGCTATGGAAAAGGAGTGAAAAGAAAGGTTACGTTAAAGTCTTGGAAATTCTCAACACATAAACTTGGCAAATACAAACTCCTATGTGGCATTTACTAGCCACATAACTACAAATACAGTCTTTCTGGAACTTACTCTGGTCTTTTGGAAAATCTACTTATGCCTTCCTTATCTCAGTCTTCCTTCCTAAAAGAAAGTGATGGATGGATTTAGGGGTGGCTCTGATAAACGATTAGAGAAGAGTTGTATAAGAACAGCTCCCAAAGACTAAAGCATGCGATTGCAAGCTAAGTATAGTGGTGTGTACATACAATTCCAGTACTTGAGTAGAAGGAGCAGGAACACTGTGAATTCCAGGTAGTCCTGCATTACAGAGGGAGACAATATCTCAAAAATCAATCAAACTAAACAAAATACGAAACAAAAATCTCCACACAAATGCAAAGGAATGTCAAAGCTCTTCATTTACATTTGAGCCCTGCCCACTGCCTTTCCTGCTTCTAAGATTTTATCTTGCAATGTTTCCTATTCTACCAGCATCCTTGCTGTCCCAATCGTCTCCAATATCTGCTCTAAACTCACTCTACTGACTCTTACTCATAAATGCCTTTGGTTAAGCAGTTTAGGGAACTAACTTCCTTTCTTCTTTTCTTCATTAAAGATGAAACAAATAATCAAATATTTAAAAAACAAATCAACAAACATTAACTATGAATTTGCACTGAATCATAAGGTAGAATCTACCTTCCAGATCAATTGCTATAGCTATTGAGTCCTAGTAAAAGCAGATGACAGTTTTTTAGGTGACTAATGACTTGAAACTAGCTTCCAGGCTGCACACTGTCATGCTGCTCAGCAGTGATCCAGTATCTGGGAGTTGAGGAAATTACTCATTCACTAAGAAGAGGAAAGGCAGGTAAAGGCTCCAAACAACAGCCTTGGCAAGTACAATGCCTTTCCCTGCCTTTAATTTTATCAATTAAATGAAAGCTGAGAAAAGTGTTTGGTTTGCTGTTATTTGGACTCTTGCCATTAAATGAAGAGTTCATGGAACTGATTCCACAAAGATGAATATCTAAAAAGTCTAATGCTGAGATAATGTATTTATCTCCCTCCCTGCAGCTATCCTTCTCCTAGTCTTGCTTGAATTGACATCAGAAGCAGTAGGAAGC